TAAATTTGTCCAACATCATTGCTGATTTAATGCTTCTCTACTCGTTTGCAAGCTTTGGGACCTTTGAGGACGAGTGCTGAGTGAGATCAGCATCAACAGTAATTCACTTACAGCAGCATTGAGCTCCACAAACGGAGGCGAGGTGCAGTTGTAAAGGTCCGGTTCCAGCCACCCTCTCTCCACATCACAGTGTCTGATGGCTGCACCTAAGAGGAGCAGAAACTTCTGTTCATGTCTCATCACAACGACCTGGTGAATTACGTCATCATCATCATCACATGCATCTGTAGGAATGTGATGAAACATGTGTACAGACCGACGGAGCCTTTGGGGCAGGGCACCGCAGCCGGCAGGTTGAACTTGGTCCGAGGCCACCAGATCCCCTGAGTGATGGTCTTTGGACAGCCGTCGTAAATGACTGCAGACAGAACGTTGTTTAAAAATCATCCTTATCAGTTTGCTGAACTTTTTCCATTTAAAAAAAAAACAAACAAAAAAAAAAAACAGAACAAAACACAAATGAGTAATAACAAAATAAAGTTTTTCTTTTGATTTTTCAAAAAAGAAAACGAAAAACAGAACAAAACACCGGCTACAAATTAAAAAGAAGCAATTATAAGCGAGAAAAGTGTGAAGCAGAGAAGCTGCACAGAAGAGAAAAAGGCGGCAAGAAGACGTTAAATAGAAGATGAACATAATTAACAGTTTCTTTGTGTTTTCAGGCTTCGCCACAAATTTTGACAAGAATGACCGTTTTGAAAGAGAAAAGTGCAGAAACAAAAACCCTGTGATTACACAGCGAGCAGTAAATAGAGTAGAAGCTCAGAAGTGCCTCATTGTTTTCATTCTCGTCTCTACGGGCAATTTACTCTGTTCGACTTACTGGTTTTAAACCCGTCTTCTCTTTCGTTTGCTGCTGGCACTGGGACAATTTTATTAAAGATCCAGAAAATGTGACAAATTATTCTGGAAAAGGTCACACAAATGACTGTATTGTTCAAAAGCAGGTCTTTTTTTTCTTCTCATTCATTTGCTTCTTTTGTCAATGAACCTACAAAGGAGCTGCAAGACACATTCTGTACCCATCACCATGAAGTGGCTGTTACGACGAGTCATTTTCAACCAGTGATTCAGTCCCTTAGTCAATAATAAACGTGTTGTTTTTACATGGAATCGCTGCGTCTCCTGCCAGGCGAGTCGCTGTTATTCTGGAGCTGTTTTTAAAAATTCAATCTGCCCGAGATGCGACGCTGAGCACATCTACAAATTAACGAAACAATAGTGTGAACCCCTGCAGTGAGAACCGGAGCAATTTTGAGATGCAGCAGTGAGACGCATCGTTAAAACCAACACGGTTCAGGATCATCCGAGCACAGTTTAAAGGACAACGACTGTTTCTTCCCTCACCGTCGCAGCCTGAATTCGTGACCTCGGCGAAGGGGTTGTCGCACGCGTTGCACTGGCGGCCAATCACGCCCGGCCTGCACTGACACTGGCCCGATTCTGGGTCACATGACCGCGAGAAGGAGCCAACCGGGTAGCAGTCGCACGGCAGGCAGGTGTCGGAGCCTCGTGGGCGGTAGTGAAACTCCTGAATGCACACAAACACACACATAACAGGGTCAAATCAGACTCAGTCAGATCAATGTAAAGTGTTGGTAAGTACACTCGCTGATCACCTGTTTAACTGTTTGTTAGTGTAAATGCCTAATCAGCCAATCACATGGCAGCAACTCAGTGCATTTAGGCATGTAGGCGTGGTCCAAACCAACCTGCTGAAGTTCAAATTGAGCATCAGAATGTGAACAAAGGGTGATTTTAGTGACTTTGAATGTAGCTGTGAGGGAAATAGCTCATGCAATCTGTTTACTTATTTTTATCATGTGATGTTGGACATGTGTGGGTTTTTCCAGATGTGCAGGCATCTTGATGATGCACAAATTATGTCTTCGTCTCACTAACGTTTCTATAAATCGCTCGTCTGTTCCGATACTCTAAAGACAGGAAAAAGCACAAGGGGCATGAATTGTATGTGCATAAGTAATTTGATACAATCAAGTACGTAAAGCTGGTGTTCTTTGGAGGACTGAGAAACAGGCAATGAGAACATGATTATTTCCACCAAAAACGTATTCAAAAAGCATTCATTCAGCCACAGCCGCTGCTCGGTGACCGACTGGGTCCACTTGTGCAGGTGCATCCAATAAAACTCAGAAAGGAGACTCTTCTGTTTGCGAGTATTCGGTTGAGGGGCAGGTCTAACTATTTTAGAGACTGCTGGGATTTTCCACACACGACCAGCTGTGGGGTTTACAGAGAACGGTCAAAATGCCTTGTTGATGCCAGAGGTCAGAGGAGAATGGCCATATTGGTTGGAGATAATAGAAAGGCATCTCAAATAACCACCTGTTGAAACCAAGGTATGCAGAAGACCATCTCCAGACCACACCAGGTTCTACTACTGTCACCTAAGAACAGAAAACTGAAGCAAGAATTCACAAGGACTCACCAAAAAAGGACAATAGAAGATTTGGAAAAAAGGTTGTGTGGTCTCATAAGTCTTGATTTCTGCTGATTTCGGGACAGAATTGGGTGTAAACGAGATGACACCATGGATCCAACCTGCCCTGTATCAACGGTTCAGGGCGGTGGTGGAGGTGTAATGACTTGGGGATATTTTTTGTCATGTCCGTCAAGTTGCCGTTTTATGGTTGCACATTTCATGTCTTGTCTTTCCTGTTTTATTTTGTAATCACTACCCTGTTGTTTCAGGTTCACTTCCTGCATGCCCATCCCCGTCTCGTCCTACCTGCTCCCTGATTGATCTCCTCACCTGTTTCCCACCTTCCCTCATTACCTCTTGTATTTTACCCTGTGTGTCTCACAGTCTCGTTGCCAGTTCGTTGTACTTCATCGTCCTCATCCCAGCGTTTCATAGTCTGTTTTGTGTACGACCTCGTTTCTGCCTTCGACCTTGCCGTTTTGCCTCTCGTCTTTGGATACCTCTGCCTTATACTGACTGATCGCCTGTGTGCCAAACCCTGCCTGGTAATAAACCTGCTTTTCTGCCCGAACCCGATTGTGTTGTGCAATTGTGTCCACCGGATCTGTGTTCTGTGAGTTCTTAACAGTTGTTTTGGCACCTTTTGAGCCCCTTAGTACCAACTGAGCATGGTTCAAACACCACAGCCTACCTGAGCACTGCTGCTGACCACGTCCATCCCTTTATGACCACACTGTACCCAACACCTGACTGCTACACTCAACAGGATAAGGCTCCATGTCACGAAACTCAAATCATCTGAAATTGGTTTCTTTGACATGACAATGAGTTCACTGTACTCAGGAGATGGTTGAGGCTGGTTCAAAGCCAAAAAGAAAAAGAAAAGATCTGGTGTGCAGGCAGTGTAGTGGCCTCCACAGTCACCAGATCGCAAAACACCTTTGGGATGTGGTGGAGCAGGAGATTGGCATCGTGGATGTGCAGCTGACAAATCTGCAAATTCTGCTCGTATGTAAAAATGGAGCAAAATCTCTGAGGAATGTTTCCAGCACCTTGAAGAATTAAGGGTGGTCCAAGCGGTCACTAGCGAGCATAAATCACCACATGCATCACATTTATACGTTCACGGATGATTGGACATGCGTATCAGAGAAACATGAAAGCAGCAATCTATGCATAGAAGTTAATTATTTAGTGAGCACGAGAATATACAGCATATTAAACACTGCACTGTGGAAAAACAATACTGACTCCAGACTGAAGGATGATGTTGCAGCACCGAAAGAAACCACATTTGTTGAATGACATTTAAACGTGCATATAAGTGTTGGAAGTCTAGATGGATAAATCCCTAGAAGAAGAAACAAACAGCTTAACATGCGCTGTATACAGATGCGTGTCAGCCTTGACCTGAAGTACCGAGAAGCTTGTTTTATGTGTGAAATAAAAGCGTTCTTATGACTGCGTGAGCACGACAAGCATAAGGAAGCTTTTATTTCCATCTAGATTGATGTTAACTACTTTACCCAAGGGCGCGTCAACACAAGGAGCGGTTGAAGAGGAAGGACGGAGGATTTTAAACTACATACGATATTTTCTGCCAGCTGGGGTTTAGTACAGTAACTGTCCTGTAAAACCTCCATATCTCCCCCTCTGATGCTACTGTAAAAACACACTGGAAATCCCCCTAAATGTGTTTTATATCTGCGCTCCTGCAGCCGCACATCTGTGTTAATGTGTGTGTGTGTTTGTGTGTGAGCCGGGCTTAGATCTAAGGTCAATATCAGAGATTAAGGATTAAGGTCAAAAGATCAGATTAAAGCCAGGATAAAACAGGGTTAAACATGTTGGATACACACAAACATATCAACACACACTCAAACGAGGCAGAAATATCAATATGAAGCCGGATCATCATATCATGGCTGGTGTGTGGTTTGAATGTCTGGATTAGCCGGCGAGACCATCGGACTGTGTGATGATTTACTGCTCGAGTTAAACCACAGCCAAAGTAATCGATGCAGAACACAAAAGTCTTTCTAATCTGAATAGTGTTCATTTTAAAGAAATCAACTTTATAGCAGAAGTCTGCATCTATTCAATAGAGCTTTGAGCAGGACAGAAGTCCACCAACATAGAGGTCGTCTACAAGAAGGGTCTGAGCCAGATCTACTTCCTCAGGAGGCAACCGCATGCTCCTGATGTTCTATCAGTCTGTGGTGGCGAGCGCCATCTTGGTGTGCTGGGGCGCAGGCATCAAGGAGAAGGATGCCAACAAACTCATCAGTCTGTTGTTGGCTGTCAGTTGGTCACCCTGGAGGAGGAGGAGGTGGAGCAGAGGACCAATCTGCTGGTCATCATGGACAACACCTCGCACCACCTCCATCAAACTGTGGACAATCTGAGGAGCAGTTTCAGCAACAGACTGATAGAACCTCGCTGCTCCAAGGAGCGTCACAGGAGTCATTCCTCCCGACAGCAATAAGACTCTTGAATGCTTCAATCTTAGCACATTTCTGTATCTCTCTGATATATTCTTGTAGATTTGTTGACTTTTTCTATATTATATTTTCTATATTTTATTTGATTTAACCTTCATTTAATACCCTACCCTAATATTCTGTGTTGTCTTTTTGCTATGTTTACCGCCTTTGTTGAATATTGCTGCTGTAACAACTGACTTTGCTTCTGGGATTAATAAAGTCAGTCTAAGTCTAAGTGAGTTCATCCTCTGAGCTGTTACAGAAACTCTGATTTCCATTGATAACCCCTGTGCCTGAAGCATTTGTTTGCCTATTTTTCAGAGCTAGACTGTGAAAGTAGTTCACTGTTCATGGCGTCATTTAGGAGGACGACCGCTGCAGCTCTGATCAGTGGCTCCTTCTGTCCCTCCTGATTACTGTGTTTGGATTGATTGCTAGTTGGTAACAGATCTTCCTGTTGCATTTTCCATTTTTCAGTTCCTCCTGCATTACTTTGTCCTGTGGAGTCATGATGCTGACATGCAGACAGACACAGCCCCACGGATCAAAACTAAAAAGCTTCAGAGGTCCTGGTAGAAACTATGTTCATGCACTGAGGTTATTTAGAAAGCTGCACTCTGCTTTGTTTCACAAGTTTCTTTTTACTTTTGCTGCACTGACCTTCTCCTTTGAAGTCTGTATTTTCAGCATCATCTTTCTAAAGTGTGTGTTTCTGATTGTACATTAGAAGAAATGCTCTGTTTACTTAGAAACGATGCTGTTACTGAGAGGTTATTCAGTGTGAAACCATTTGAACTGTGAAACGACAACTGAAAAACACCGAAAGCTCGGCATCTGATTAATAATCCAGCACTTTTGTTTCCATCGGCTTTCATCACATCTTCTCTTTAACCAACTTTTCCACCTCGAGCAAGGGCAAATGCCAAACCATCTTTCCGTGCCCTTTTGCGCAGCGACATGTGAATTAGCATCCGAGCCTCGCCTGAAAGCTGCTTAACGTTTTCGCTAACGTTGTCTCCTGGTTACCTTGCAGTGACAGTGTCCGCTGGTCTTGTTGCAGTCGGGGTCGAAGCCTCTGTTGGCGTCGCAGTGACACGGTCCACAGGTCGGAGATCCCCACCAGCCCCTGGGACACTGGTGGTCAATCCTGCATGAACGCACAAACAGGTCGAGTCAATAGATAGAGAAAAAACAGCAAAGACTGCGCCGAAATCTTTTATTAGTTCATCAAAGGAAGCAGCTTTCCCTCTGATTTCTACGCAATTATTATGAACAAAGAGACGACGAGAAAAAAAAGAAGCAAATGAAGAGATCAAACAGGGAGACGAGAGTTTGAAAGGTCTGGAAAGATATTAATTAAATGAAATTAGCAAACATTTTAGAGCGCGCCGAGTCACAGAAAGACAATATTCAAAATTGAAAGATTACCAGTCATGCAATTAAACACATTTAAGACGTATCACACTACCTGCAGATCAATGCATTTCTAAATCAATCACTCCGTTTTGCTGCACACAATCAATATTAATCTCCTATTAGAGCCGCATTTGTTACGATTCATTCATTTCAAAAATCTGTTTCCTCAGACTACTAAGCCGCCGCCGAATCCGTGCTCTTGAGAAAATACACCTGGGACTTTATCGCGCACGACACTTTTCGCTTTTGCTCACATCTCACTTAATGCGCTCTCCTCCTGTTCTCAGCGTCTAATGGATCACAGAGGAGATGAGTGCTTCACGCGGTTAATGCATATTGGTGCGTGCGCGTCTTTATTGCACCTTACGGGGAGTTTAGGAGACAAACGTCAGACGTAATTGATCTGCGGTGTATTTTTGGCGGCTTAGAGGGAAAATGTTCTGTGCAGACGGAAGGAGCGGCACAGAAACAAAGTCTGGACCTGGACAGGAAGCTCCATTAGCTGGTAAATAAGTAGGAGTCTTTTCTTAAGGAGAAGTTAGGCTAAAGTCAGTCGAGATATATGTTAGCTGCAGAAGCTATATTTTAGAACTGCAAATCAGAAAATTCTCTCACTTATGTATGATGGAGTTTATCATCTTTCTGTCGATGCACTAACTGTCTAATAAATGTGAGTTAGCAGGCGGCAAAAATCACAGCGATGCATTGATGATTTTCGAGCCTTGCAGCCAATCAAAGCAGATGATTAATGAGCCAAACTTCTGAATGTGGGCGTATCAAGAAGGATTCATTACACAGCAACAGACAGATTCATATCAGGGGAAATAAGGGGGTGAGAGACAGACTTCCAGACGTATATTTCATCATCAGAAGCAGCCGACAATGTGTGTCTTTGTGGAAGAACACACATCAAAGACGAACATCCGAGACGCGCGTTCGCACAATGAGCCGATCACGAGATACATCTAAAGCCGTGAGGATTTCGCGGGCAGGAAAGAAGCCACGGGGGTCAGGTCGGGGTCGCCGCACAGTTTAACATTCACAGAGCTAACGCTGGTGGGTGTGTTAGTCTGCGCTCATCTCACAGTGGATTACATGCAACGCTGGAGATGTGGGCCAACAAGGATGAACTAAAGCCATCAAGGCACACAGTGGAGCAGAGTTTAAATGGGCTGCAGACACCAAAGAGCTTTAAAGCCGTGCAGGTTAACCGCGGTTCCGACGTTCAGCGTGCAGCCTTATTTGTGTACCTGTGCTGGCAGTACTGTCCGTAGTGGTTGTCGCCGCAGTCGCAGATGTATCCGTGGGAGGTGGTGGGCTTCCTGTGGCACTGAGCTTCGTTTTCACACGGGTTCAGATGGCAGGCGTCGGTGCAGCCTTTCCCATAGTAACCTGAGAGGAACAGATAGATTACATGAGCTAATGCACAGATTAGGTTCTCTGGACAGCAGAAGTCTTAAATCCTTAAAACTGCAGAGACAGAAGTCACATGAAGGAGGATGAGGAGGACGGTTGGACGTACAAATGTCAGCAAGAAGGACTTTTTGTGCCACCAAGACAGCAATACATCATTCAGTCATCATCAGTGTTTGTTGCTGAGGACAAACTTCGATGTAAACTTAGTTATGTTGGGAAGGTGAGGACAGAGTTCCATCCATCCTTTATCTCTACACCGCTCAATCCTCCAGACAACCAAGCACATTCACACCAATCACCAATTAACCTCAACATGTTTTTGGACTATGGGAGAAAGCCGGAGAACCCGGAGAGAACCCACATTGCATAGGGAGAACATGCAAAGAAAGATTCCAGGCGTCCTAACCAGGATGCAAAACGGGGAGCTTCTCGCTGCGAGGCGACGGTGCTAGCCACTGATCCACCTTACAACCCGAGGACAGCGTTACAAAAAAAAAAAAAAGGACTAAGGATAAAAAGGAAACTAAAAAAAGAAGCTAAACATTCGTGAAATATCAGTTAATTTTAGAGCAATCTCAACATCAACCCTGAATATGTGATGTTCTACTGTTACAACAACACAATTAATATTTGATTTATGTTAAAAATCCAACTAGAAAATGTGAGAATCTTCAAGGACGCTTGTTCAAAATGACAAGATTATTTAATCTGATTATTTTTTGTTGTTGTTGTTGTGTCTATGTAACCTTTTTTGTTGGAAAGGTGGAAAGAGAGTCATAAAAACCAAACAAAACCAGGGACTAATGATAGAAAGTGAAACTAAAATGGGCTAACTGCTGCTAATTTTATTTTTACAGCTGGAAACAATACATGAATTATTCAATTCACTTCGAAAATTCAATCAGAAAATGTGACAACGGAAGAAGACATTCGGTCAAAGTGACCGTGGAGAACTTCCCATGTAGCCGTTATCATGAAATAAGAGCACAACATGACAACTGTTGAATTTTTAATATGCAGACGAACAGCTCTCTGTTTTCCATCCCTGCGCCGCATATAATAACCTGTCAGTTCACCAGTCAGCATCTCCAGCATCAAACAGCGATTATCAGAAATGTCACCATCCTGATGCACTCCGGCTGGCCGAGCTCACCGGAAGAACAAGCAAACTGTCATTCACTGAAACACAACACGACGCCTCCTCAGAGGGAAGATTACCGCAACAACCTCTCAAGAGAGAAGAAAAAAAACGCTTAAAGAACATTGTAATTTATTTTAATTTAAGACAAACAGGTACAAGAGGAGGGAAACATTACACAGGAGGAGAGTTTGTGCTGCAATCTGTGTCACATTTACATCTAAAGTGACTGTATGGGCTGAAAACGAAGGTCGTCTTAGCTTAAGGAGGACAATCAGTGGTTTTAATGTCACACACTGAGGCCTGTAGGATCTCAAAAGGTGACGTCCACACAAGAGATGTTCATGAGCAGAGTCTAGAGAGATTTATTGATCTTTCCTGAGAAAAATTTGCATGTGTTTGAGCTCACTAAAACAGCATGTGTTCATTAAAATCATATGTATTATTACTTTTTGCTGTTCTTTTTGCAAAAGAAAGCAATTTAAAGATGCTGATGTTATTTTTTTTTCAGAATCAGAATCAGCTTTAATGGCCAAGTACATACACAACATACAAGGAATTTGGTTTCGGCTGTTGGTGTCGCCCTGGGAATTTGCAGGAATAATAGGAATAGGAAAATTTAAAAAATAAAATAAAATAAAGTAAAATAACTACAGACAGTAAAGAATAAAATAAAATACAATAAACATTAATAAAAAAATAAAACAAGATAATAAGCTTAAATTAGTGTTTTCTAACATTTTACAGACAAAAATTATAAATCCAACAATTAAAAAAGACATTAATTTATAACAATAATCATTAGCTGCAGTCTTAGCAGGTTTTAGATCATTACTCTCATTAACTGAACCCTGAATTTCAAGCTGTATGATGTCAGTGCAAAAACACAAAAGGTGACGTCTACATAAGTTGTGTCCTTTATGGCAGCGGTCTCCAACCTTTTTTGCACCACGGACCGGTGTCAAACAAAACTATTTTCTACAGACCGCTCATTGCGCACACAACAAATAATAACTGTTTTTTCTATTAAAAAAGTGTCATAAACGAATCAAATTACTTTTTATTGCTAAATAAGTATTCACTATTTCTTCCATCTCAGCATCTCATCCTCTTTTCAAAGAAACTCTCCAGAAAAGTTTGCTTTTTATTCATTTTGGCAGCGATTAGAATAGATTTTAACGGCTGGCCATGAAAACTGACTGAGACAAGCGCGGGAAACAAGCAGTCGGAAGTTACGGGAAGACAAGCTCATCGTTTTTCAAAATAAAACACCCTGCAGACTCTGCTGGAAACAAAATAAACCAATAAAACATTTTTATTCTTTCTCACGGCCCGGTACCGGTCCGTGGCCCAGTGGTTGGGAACCACTGCTTTATGGGATGTTCATGAACAAACTTGAGAGATTTATTGATATTTTCCTATTTCTGACAAGAATTTCTGCTTGTCTGAACTCACTAATCTTTGTGTTTTTAACCAAAAGAAAGCAATTTAAAGATCCTAACGTATTTTTCTAACATTCAACTATTTAAAAAAAAAGCCATATTCATTATAACAGTTGTCATTAGCTGCAGTCTTAGCAGGTTTTAGATGATTACTTTAAATAAATGCCCCTGAATTTCAAGCTGTATGATGTTGGAGCAAAAATACAAAAGGTGAGGTCCACACAAGTCGTGTCCTTTATAGGATGTTCATGAGCAAACTCGTGAGATTTCTTGATCTTTTCTTATTTCTGACAAAAATTTGCATGCATCTGAGCTCACTAAAACAGCGTCTGTTCATTAAAATCTAATTACTTTTTGCTGTTTTACATCCTTAAATATTTCTGTTTTTAACCAAAAGAAAGCAATTCAAAGATCCTAGTGGTGTTTTTTCTAACATTCTATAGACAAAATAATAAACCTAACAATTTTTAAAAAGACATTCATCTACAACAGTAACCATTAGCTGCAGTCGTAGCAGGTTTTAGATGATCACTCTCAATAAACGGCCTTGAATTTCCATGCTGTAGGTGGAAACGTGTGAATACCAGGAGGAGCCACAGTAAAAGCTCATCTGAAAAACGTCAGTCATCTCCATAAAACTTTAAATACCTTTCTGTCATAATAGCGCAGGAATTTGCGACATTAAAAGCAAAGACTGCACAATTCAACGCCGCTGACGGAGCCACTTGAGCACAGACACACACACAGCGTACACTTCACCGTGAACGGAGCCGTCGCACACTTCAGTGCAATCCCCAGACACTCTACACAAACACTGCAGCCTCTTGTATGGAAATACAGGCGGGCATATAAAAAGCCCTCTTTAATCTAATGACTAAAGCAGAGTGCCTCACTTTGGTGTGTATTTAGCACAAATAACAGAAGGACTCTCACCCAGACCTGCCTTTCATTTAAAGGAAAAAAAAGAGCATAATTGTGGTATTTAGCCTCTAAAGGTACGTTTATTAATAGCAGGATTAAAATATTACAGGAATAATCCACAATTTAAGACCCTACTTTCATGTCGGGATGGAAATATAAGTCATACATCCAATAAAATGACACACACAGCCTCATAACGAAGTAAGAAGATGAACATTTTAAAAGTAATTGTGAGCTTTTAGGTTATCATTTATTTCTTTGTTAAATTATATATTTCTTAATGCATTTTTATTTTTCCAGGTTGACTGTTTCATGTTAGTGGAGTCACTTGTAAATGACTCAGCATGTTAGTTTGCAGGTTGCATTAGCAGAAGGGTCCATCTTACTTTTCTTTGTAAGGTTGGACTCAACATGTTTTATTGTCTGTGAAGATTCTCAGTCATCCAGGT